AAATCTCCGCCGGTGCATAATGGCCTACATGTAGGTCAGGTAACGGTCGCTGCATATCTCGTTATTAAAGAGCCATCTCGGCCTCGTATACGCCTGTATCGGCCGAGACTCGTTTCGCCACCAACACCAAGCCAGCGCGTAGTTCGTCCATCCCTGAGCCGTGGGCGCTTCCGGCTTGTCATCAGGCGAAGAACCCCAACCCGGGTCTCCGGGTGTCGGTGGCTGGCCGTACTAGCGGCTCTGCCGCAGTCCATCCTGTGCCCGGCCCTAGAAAGGATCGAGTGACATGTCACTTCTGAGATGCTGCGACGAATGCTACGACAACAGAGCCCCATCACACTAGCGTCAAAACCTTGACATCGGCTCAACGACAACGGCTAACGTCGACCAGCACTGATTACCTACTGCACTACAAGACCACTAGAGTCTAGAGTGCGGTTTGATGATGGGTTGCGAAGCACCCACCCAGCCACCTTCGCTTCCCTCACCGATGGTGTGGTGGAGGGTGGAGCACGTCGTGCAGCGCCATCGCACGTCTTCACACCACCATCGAATGTGTCTGTGGAAGGAAAACAGGGTTATAGCCTGTGGAAATAAGGCCGCAGCTACAATCAACACCCTTCACAATCATGGTTGATGAGACGTTTGTGGCAACGGCGAGGGCGGCACGACGATCAGGGTCCTCGGGCCATGCTAGCAGAGCGGTCCCTTAAACTTGGCGTGTGCGAGGTGTATACATTTCCAAATGGAGAACCCCGAGGGATTTTGACGACGTTCGTTCGAGCACCCTTCAAGATTTCCGGAAGCGGGCTGACGTCGTAGGCTCGACTGTTTGACAAACTAGACTCTCCCGTTCGAGCGATGTGTATCTGATTGGTAGTAGGCGTTGTAAAAGCCGTTGATGGTCGTCCGTAGTGTATGTGGTGCTCTCATGCTCATGCTCGTGTTGTGGTTGTCGAACATCCGGCCATGACAAATAGGGGCAATTTCTTCCTCGCTGTAACGTCTTGAAGCGACGTCCACTAACACACACGTAGGTGTCAAGTATCGCTACGAATTACAGAGGAAGCATATAACGAGTCTCTCAAGGGTATCATCATGAACTGCACATTGCCCATGTAGCCTCTGTATACCATATCGAGCCGTTCCTCTACCAAAAGAACAACAAGGATTAGAACAGCAGCTGCAGGGCGGCCTCGTTGATAGCAATGAGACACAGAGAATCTCGATCCGAGCGATACAAGCTCGACGGTTGGCTGTAACCTCTAACGCAGCACGCCACGACATGAGCTCAGGGTCTTTTGTGCACCACCGGTGAAGACTCCTGGACGCCGAGAGCGGTGCCGCTACACACTATTGCGTCATACTGGCACTGACCATTCGTGTCTCTATGGGCCTCGCTATGGTTGTATGGGAACACGATCTCACAAACGGTCGGCGCAACGGCAATATCAAAGGGACAGCATCGATGAGGAGTGAAGAAATATCAAAGGGACAGCATCGACGAGGAGTGAAGGTCGACGATGCCGAAGAATGGGGACCTATAATCGGCTTCGAGGGCCTGAACTCCCACGTACGACCATAGATACTGGAGAATTCGGGAACCCGTCCGCTCTCCCATAGGCAAGCCGGTAATTGAGTTCAACAACCGTGCAGCATCTCCGGCCAGGATGTGGAATTGGCCCAGTTCGGCCCTTAAGACGGTGTCTTTTTGGGTGGCCGTTTTCACCCTCCCTTGCCCCTTAATCGGCTCACTGAGCGTCTGTGGGCTCGGCCTGGTCATGCTTCTTTTCCTCTGCCGGGCTTTACACACGGTAATACACCCAGCTGGTTCTGAATTCCCAGCTGGCTTCTGAGCCAACACACAGCGACAAAGACAACAATAGCACCGACCAAGAACCCAAGCTGGACAAAGGCGACGGGACAGCGTCTACTGGGCTGGAAGACTGTCGAAGCACAGCCAGCAACGACGATGTATGGCAATCCTCCTTGCTCTAATGATACGCTCTGCTAGTAGCGTCGGAGTGGCTCCAGATTCCATATTTTCTACAGCCTTGATGCGGAAGAGCACATTCTACTCAAGCCGTTCGTGGTCCCGGCCCTCTTCACAGCCACTCTCGTGTCGTCTAAGATCACCGGTATCACAACTGGGTACTGCGGCTTCCATGAATACCGGAGGACGTGCCTCTTCTTCTCCGCCGCCTGCTAGCTGTCGTCTCTAGCCGCAACCCTGCCCAGCGACCCTGTCCTGTTCGCGGGGAGTGTGCTGGGTGTTTGGCTGGTGTTCCTGTCGGGCACGTGTGAGGCATCGTTTTGGGCGAATGTGGTGCCGATGGGGCTGGCTGCGAGTCTGATCTGGCAGCGGTGGTTGAGTTGCCAGTCGAAACTTTTCCTGTATGCGGAAAGTGTCTCCCAAGCTGACGCTTGACTACTGCAGGACGAGAGGTATGTAGATCCCCCGAAAGAGATCAGACGGGCGACTTCAGCAAGCTCTGGGAGGCACTGCCCAAGCCGCAGAAACCTACCTACCTTACGCACAGAGTTCCAAAGTTTTGCATCACCTGTATGGGGACAAATGGAAGCTGCTGGGGGTCCGGCGCCCGAGGCTTCTGTTCTTTTCTGACGTGCTCGATCCTCTCCTCTTTTCAAGACCTGACGGATATCCATCAACCCTTTTCGACGCCAATTCGCAACACCCCACTACCCATGTTCTTCTGTCCATACTCCCATTCAGAAAGCAGTTACTGTTCAGAGACTCGAGCAACATTCCGTTGATCTTTTCAGCCTGACGACAACAACACCCCCGATACAGCCATGAAACGATGTCGGGCGTGGCTTCGGCTCCACGGCATCACGTCCAAGCGTCCAGCGCCTCGCAACAAAGCCGGTCCGGCTGGACATGACAGCGAACCACCACCATATCACGACTTCCGCATCCCAAGCGACCCAGCGACAGATATTGCATCCATCACTTCAGCCATCAACACTGTTGCCATCAACACTGTTGCCATCGCGAAACCGTCGGCTCTCGTATCAGGGAACATTAAGAAGGTAGCCGAGGTGATATCCAGAATGGCTCATGCTGTCGCCACCACACCACATGCCCGGGACTACCACAACTGGGGCAAGCCCGCGGATGGGCGCCGAGTCTGTGTTACAGGGACCGCCGAAGCTCTGATGACCGGCATAGACAATTATCTCGACATTGTCCTCATGCAGCTAGCCTGGGGTGACGGTTATCTATTGCGATCATCGTTTCGTTCCAGGGACAACGCCCTCCAGTCCATATACATGAAGACCATCTATTCGCCGCTTGCATCGGCAAGCATAATCACGGAAAACTTTATTGCATTGGCCATCGGCATCGAATCGATCCTCAGCTTCATTCAGCCGGTGGCTTGCGTGCCAGCTGTCGCTGCCGCCATCACCAGCGCCCTGACCAATGTCGCCAAAGCAGTTGCGGCTGCACCGGAGGAATCGATGGTAGTTATTGCTGAGCTGTACGCCTCGTATGCAGACCTCGCCGCCCACAGCATTGTCCGTGGCACTACCGCTGCACAGTCGCTGCGGGATGGGAGGGCTCTAGCCGCGTCAATAGCTGCATCCCACTCGTCAGGACTCAAGAGCAGTGCTGCAGACAAGAGTGTAAGTAGAGCTCGAAACGCTCTGCAAGGCCAAACTAACCAAGGATAAATAGTTCACCGAAACAACCACGGCTGAGGACTCTGTGAAGCGACTGAAGAAACGGAAGGCCGCCCACGAGGTGCAAAGGCCCGGTCCGTTGACGCGCAAGGATCGATGGCGGAACTGTGATTGTACCCCGATGCATCTGTAGCGAGGTTTCGTCTGGTCAGTCCTTCCAACCCCTGCTGCGTTGTTGAGTGTGTGTCTGTGTGCGGCACCGATGTTCTTCTTCTATTTTCAAATCAAACCTTTCGCTTTATTGAATGAATCGCCTCCTTTTCTCTCATGGTTGTGTTCTACACAGTATGGTAAGCCAATAACATCTTGACATTCTCACAAAGTTGGATACTTCCCGATCATGGTCATACAAGATGTCGAAGTCCATCGTCTGAGTAGTTAGGCCCATTCCTGGTGGCCATCTTCATTGACGTGCGTGATACTCCCGGCGTGAGGCGCCGTAGCCGTGACCAGCTATCGCAGCACTAGAATCGCAAGCTCTCGCTTGGCGACCCATCTTTCTTCGAAGTGGCCAATTGAGTAGATATGCGATTTGCAGCAAGGGGACGCTAGTCGAACTACATCTACGATGTGACACGAGTCATCAAGCACTACCGTAGGCAAAGTGCCAGAGTGGTTAATGGGTTAGCCTCGAAAGCTAATGGCTTCGGTCGCGCAGGTTCGAATCCTGTCTTTGTCGTACACTTTTGCCGTTTCTTTTGTAGTATTTCACTCTTGACTACGACAAGGCGAAATGCGTCTGGTGATGGCTGACTGACGCAAAACCGGCAGACTGAAGCCAAACGGACAACCCCCCCTTATGCTGTGGCACGGCGGCATCAATGTTGGCGACCTCTTTCCCGGCCTTGTTGGACATCTAAGTCCGCCTTTAGAAAATGAGAGTTTTTCCAAGCCAAATAGCAGAGCACCCGCAAAGGGCTCGTAGCTCGCCGGCTTTACATTCGGGGAACCTACCGCACTTGCCTACTCTCCACTGATGTGAAGGCATTGCTCACAAGGAGAAGCCGTATGCGGATGTATTCCTTTAGAACTTGCATAAGCGTTTTCCTGGCCCTGTAATAGGAGACCCTTTTAAGAGCAAGGTACGCAAGACCTATAGACAGACCAGGGCAACCTAGCTTCTGGTAGTTTCCTTCACACGATGTTGAGTTTTCTGAACGAGCAGAACAACGATTATAGATCCCTTGGCAACGAAATGACCTGGAGGCAATAGAAATCTTAATATCGACACTCCTGTTGCAACTGCAGAGGAATTGTAAGGGACAAAAAGTGAAAAGAAGGGGGGGGGGGGGGGGGAATGATCGTTGCAGGGGTCGAACCTGCGACCTTGTGCGTGTAAAGCACACGCTCTTACCACTGAGCTAAACGACCTACTTGATGAACAATGGGATTGATCAAACTTGAAGTGTAGACAGAAAGCTTGTCCCTAGCACCCGGGGTCAAGCTTTCCAATCTTTCACGCCTAGACACGACCAGCTTGTTCCTTCCATATGGCCTTGCAAGCCACTGAGAGTAGGGGAAGACTTGTTCCTTCCCGACACACATTTCCTATTCCCCATTAGATGACTGTTCCGCGGGACTGTGTGCAATGAGCAGTCGCGGCAAGCGGAAAGAGTTGAGTCATTGGACCGTGAAATCCGCTTTGAGCCACTATACAGTGAACGTATCTCAAGCTGAGCAGACGAGGCTCATTCGACCATGTACTAGCATCCTTTGCCGCAAGTCTCCCGTATTCTGCAGTCAACAACAGACCAGACTAAGGCGCAATTACATCTGTCCTCAGCCTAATGTGCGGTTAGTCCCTAGTATATGACTGCAGAGAGCTGATCGGTAATGTTCATGTGTGCCGGACACGCAGTGTGCCACCACTGGGCCGCCCTGGCCGGCAAGAATGGCTGGAGAGCGTGGTACGCTTTGGGTCGATCTGACAGGGCCAGGATGGCTGAACCGGATGCCGGTGTACAAGTACAAGACAAAGCCGCTGTGCCAGAATTGCCCGCTCATATGCTTGTGTCTGAAGTCCAGGTAACCATGTAGGCTGTCTTTGACTTCCTTACGGAAGCCCATTTCGCATGCGTAAACCTCCACTCTGGAGCAATCAAGCTGACCCATGCCAACTCAACTACCAGGGACCCAAGCCGAAGCGATAGATAATGCTGAGACAAAATGGACGAGGACTGGGTGGGCGGACCGACCTGTGCCAACAGGAGTCACAACGGACGCTTCCATGGGCCCAGATAAGTGCTTCGACATGGGGTAGAGTTGCGCACTGGCGAAGACTCTAAAGATAGGGATATGATGGACGAGGAGAAAAGTACTTTCAAGCTGTACCCCCGCGATTCTCCTTTTGGGTGAGCTTTTACGTCGTCGTTACAACGGCCTTGGCCTTCTCTATATTTAGGAGCAGGGTTGGCTGTTCATGGACCAACGTTGGCATGGCAAGGATGCCGAAGCCTCCGATTGCAGGTATTGCCTTTGACCTGTCCGCTGATGTTCGTTCTGAACAAAGAGCCGCATAACGCGAGGCGGTCGTGGCGCTCGAGGCAGCTCGAGGGGGGATATTGGGCGGGATGCGCCGTGGGACATGCTGTTTCCGCATACAAGAATGTTTCTGCTGCTCCGCTAAGAAGATGTTGAACGTAACGTGATGATGATGATGATGAAGCCGCCCGAATTCGTGCGTTGTTGCGCATCCGAGCAACTGGAGCGTGGGAGTTCAAAGCACTGGAGGTTGAAGTTGCGTCACGTGAAAAATAGCAGGGAGTTGAGCTGGACTAAGTGTAGTGTACGTCCAGAATGATAGTCGTCTGTGTCCAATGAAATGATTACCTGTCGTACTACCGCAAGGTGCCATGAGGTACCTTTGAGACAGAGAGACGGGCGAGGGTATTGCCATCAAAGGTCTCGACCGTCCATGAACTCTAGCCCAGTCCAAATGCGGACCGCCATAAAGAGCAATCGAAGACCGAGCGAGACGTGGAATGAGTCCCGTATCGAGCTACCGCTCTGTTGGGAATCTCACGGTCTTGTTGGAGCGCGCAGATAGCGGATAGCATATCTGAGAGGGCGAACCCCGCCAAAACAATGGGCGACAAGAATGACGATGGCTCACAGTAGCGCTGTGGGACCCCATGTCATTTGCTGGGCAGATCCCCCTCCACGATCCCGGTCAAACTTGTCCTCCGCCATCCCCAGCAGTACAGTGCCCCTCTTTACCTCGATCCATCTGTAACGAGCTTGCTCTGCTTGCATCAGCTCGATCATCACACTCAATTCTCAACCAGCAATTGCAATCCTCACGTCGATTGTCTACCCTACCGAATGCTTTGCTGCATTGTATACTGAGGACTGGTGCGTTTATATCCTACGCAATCTTCAATCGCCATTCGTACCTCTCCGCTAGCCCGGCATCCCTTCGCCCTTTCTGCCATCTTCTCCAGGCCTTCTTACGAGTCGTGATTGACGCAATCGTGCGTTACCAACACCACGGTCTCCATACCTTGTACGGCCCCATCAACTCCTCCCGTACCCGTGCCGGGAGCTTCACTGTGTCACAACTCGTATCTACTGCCTTCTAGGTCTTTGAGCTGTGACTACCTCGCCAAAGTCAGCAAGCGGAAGAGCCCTGTGCGTCTAACACTATAAACAGCCGCACATACATATAGCTGTCAACAACGATCCAGACTCCTCCTAGTCCATCGAGACTGGCCTTCGCATTCCCCAATCAGACGCTGGGGAAAAATCACAGAAGACCGGTGGAGTGAAGCAACGAAGAGAAGAACAGAGCCCGCAAAAGGTTTGCGAAGCACGGACGACTTCTCGGTGCGTTCCAAGACCGGCTTTGCATTCCATTCCTTGGGAGACAAAGCACTGTCTTCTCTCTTTGTTTTGGTGCGATCCGGTGCAAGGTGCTGCATCTCTGATCCATCCCCAAAATTGGACGTTGATCCTCTTCAAGCTGCGACGGCAAGTCTGCAGTGTTCCAAACAAGCAAAAGACATCAGCGAATTTCATCCCGAAAAGGCCAGCGCAAATACCTTGCTGTTGATCATAGTTTGGCGGAGCCGCAACTGTGCATCACCCGAACCTTAACCCTCAACTACCAATCAGTCTTTGGTCCTTTCCAAACTGTCTTGTCGGCTCTTTCTACGCGAGGCATATTCTGATCAGTCATATGCGACTGATTATCGCATCTGCGGCGCCCAGATTGTCCAATTGGAGCGGTTACCCCCGCTCTCCCCTTCCTCTAACAGCCTCTCGTCTTGATGCCTTCTCTCGGCTTTCTAAAGAAGAAGCGGACCAGAGAGCAAAACTCTGATCCCTCGAATAGCAGCCAGCCGAACAGCCCGGTCACACCTACTGCCCCCAAGACCTTCGAGCCGAATCCCGTCCCTACCTTGCAAACGCAAACTAGTGCTGGCTCGGCGACATCCCAGCTCGGCCCCGTGATCCAGCAAGGTCAGAGCAACCAGAGCCAACAGAGCCATCACAGCCAGCAAGGGGAACCGGCAGACAAACCATCAATGCATAATTCCCATCTACAACACCCTTATGTATCGCCGCCTCAACCGACACCCTCCCCCGGAACGCAGCCGCAGAACCTACCAAGGATCGCGAACCTCATCAACCCTCCACAACAAGATGACTCGTCGCAGTCCTATCAACAGCAATTAGGGTCCAAGTTCCCGGCACCACCAGCCAACAACGGCGCGGCTGGGAACCAGCAATATCCTCCCATCATGTCTCAACCACAGCAACAACAGCAGCAGATCCAGGACCAGCCTCGCGTGACCAAGGGCAAATATTCGCTAGCCGACTTCGAGATACTGAGGACGCTCGGGACAGGTAGTTTTGGTCGCGTTCACCTGGTTCAATCGCGGCATAACCAGCGATTCTACGCCGTCAAGGTGCTGAAGAAGGCGCAAGTTGTGAAAATGAAGCAGGTGGAGCACACCAACGACGAACGGAAGATGCTAGGCGAGGTCAAGCATCCATTCCTGATCACACTCTGGGGCACGTTTCAGGATGCCAAGAACCTTTACATGGTCATGGATTTCGTCGAGGGCGGCGAACTGTTCTCTCTGCTGAGGAAATCTGGTGTAAGTTATGCCTCGAGCACCACTCCACTCCGTCACGCCATCGGCAGCGTATACTGACGCAAAGATCGACCAGCGATTCCCCAACCCGGTCGCCAAGTTCTATGCGGCGGAAGTAACGCTGGCTCTGGAATATCTCCATACGAGGAACATAATATACCGAGACCTGAAGCCTGAAAACCTGCTGCTGGACCGGCACGGGCATCTCAAGATAACAGACTTCGGGTTTGCGAAGCGTGTCCCCGACAAGACATGGACGCTCTGCGGTACTCCCGACTATCTGGCACCTGAAGTCGTGTCCAACAAGGGATACAACAAGTCGGTCGATTGGTATGTAATCCTGGCTTGCCCCAATCCGTCATTTTGAGCGTATTTTCTGACACTCTTCGGCGCAGGTGGTCGTTAGGGATCTTGATCTACGAAATGTTATGCGGCTACACGCCCTTCTGGGACGGCGGATCTCCGATGAAGATCTACGAAAACATCATGAAGGGCAAGGTCAAGTACCCGGCCTACATCAACCCCGACGCACAGGACCTGCTGGAACGGCTGATCACGGCTGATTTGACCAAGCGGCTGGGCAATCTTTACGGAGGCTCGCAGGACGTGAAGAGCCACCCGTGGTTCGCTGAAGTGACATGGGACCGGCTTGCCAGGAAAGACATCGACGCGCCATACACGCCACCGGTCAAAGCAGGCGCCGGAGATGCAAGCCAGTTTGACAGGTATCCGGAAGAAACCGAACGATACGGTCAACCTGGCTCGGATGAGTAAGTCTTCCATTGGTTGTTAGTTTCACCTTTGAGAGGTATCTGCTAACATTATGTCCAGCTATGGTCACCTGTTCACGGAATTCTAGCATGACTTGGGTCACTGCGTCTCCGAAACTAAAGATCCCCATACCATATCTTGGATACTGCGCGTACAGGAATTCGTGTACGTGCGTTTTAAGCTACAGCACGGACAGACGGACATGCAGATGTGGAATCCGTCTATGGGAGTTACATCAGTTTATTTTTTGTTTTACCAGCCTGACCTGTCTGATGGTGTATCAGGAGACTGTTGTGGGCCGTTGGTATCGGCCTTATGGTTAGCTGTCATGGAAGTTGGCTTGCACTGGCAGGTTTTGGATGTTTGGTAAGGGGCGTGACTAACTGGAAAAAGGGTTCGGTGCCAGCGCCGGGATCATTGTTACTACCAGAGAATGCGGAGGAGGAAAGCACTACGCAGTATCAACCTACAAGTCATTACCATTCCGCCATATTCTGAGCCTAC